TAAAGTTTTGTTTTTAATGTTTTAACAATCTTAACGTTATGCGTGCAGCGCAGCTTAATACGACAATCAAAGGAAAGAATAAGAACATGTCTTTTATTTGTTATTTCAGCTCGTACAATATCCCCGTTATAAAACCAAAATACGCTCCTTGGTCATCGCAGAAATGGTCTTGCAACAAACCTCTATGTGCCCGCTTGTCTCTGTAACTTAATAAATAAAAATAAAAAATACTAAATATAAAATACGATTCTGAATAAAACTTTATAAGAACGTGGTTTGCGTTATTTATTTATTAATTCATTTATACGAACGCGCTCGTCTTTTGAACTGAGTATGGAAATACACCAAGCCAAGTGGCCATTGAGTAATAGTAATTATTGTACACGTATTGCTTTCCAAGTATTATTAATAAATGTACGTTCCCAAATAAAATTAAAAAAAATAGAAGAATAGCATTCGATTTAGGCGGCTTTTATTAATTCATGAATTTTGTTCAAGAATATGATTTACACGTAAATATAAAATACATTGAACAATTGCCGGTTGAATTAGACTCACAGTTGCCCTGTCTTAATTTTGCATCGATCGATGCATTCCTCGATCCACCGATGCACATTGGACGTTGCATCGAGAAATGCGTCGGTCGGTGCATAAAACGTGCCGATCGGTGCATCGTTAAAATGCGCCGAGATGCATTTCGGCGCGCCGATGTTGCATCGATCGTCGCATCGATCGTTGCACCGGTCGGTGCGTCGATCGGTGCATCTATCGTCGCACCGAGGTGTGATGGCCGCTCTGGTCTGTACTGTATGCCCTTGGGAATAGGGTATTGAATGAACACACTCATTAATTTATTTTCATAGATACCTAGCAACAGCGGTTACCATGGCAACGGTTGCTAGGGGTTGGTGGAGCAGCTAAAAAATTACCAGAAACAAGGGCACTTTTTACTATGTAATTTTTTACAAAATGACAGTTTCTTTTCAAATTTTGTTTACACAGTGCCCTGAGGTGGTTGTTATGACAACACAACCAATTAGGATGTCATCTCTAGTACATGATGTCACACATGGCTGTGACATCAGAGACACAGCCATTTTGCAGTACTTTAGGGTGGAGCAAAATTGGCTAAAAATAGGGATGAATTCCAAAGAACTCAATGTTAACAGAAGATCTGTTATAAAATACAATGCAATCAGAGGTATTCCAGCACTAGACACCTTAAGGGGCCTACATGAGGTGTATGGACAGGAAAATGTGAAGCGGTCAACTGTTTACAGGTGGTACATTTGTACATTTAAAGATAATGGAAACCACACTGTTTTTGATGCTCCCAGATGTGGTCGCAAAGCTGATACCGTGATTCCAGAAAACATCAAACTTATTGAAGATATGATATCTATGGATGGTAGACACACTATTACTGAACTTTGATGTCTGGACTCAAATATTCCTCAGTTCAAGCTATATGATAGTTAGGCATGTATGCTTAGATGGCACTATACTTAGAGGTTATGTCACTATGACGTGAAATATGCCTGAGTTCTCCCAATATAGGCCGACCTTGGGAGGCTCTATATTTGGGCAAGAACGAAGGCATATTTCACGTCATAGTGACATAACTGATGTATTACATGCCTTTGTTCCCATGGTTACTTTGTATCAATGACGTGACGTCATGATATTATCATGGTTATTAAAGAAATCTAATATCAAAACGAGGTAAGCGGGCTATATCGAGGTAAGCGGGCTATATCGGGGTAATCGGGCAATATCGGTGGATATAGCTCGCTAACTTTCCCATTGACTTCCATACAAATGCTTCGCTAGGTATGTAATACTAGTACATATTCCATAAAGTCATGAAATATAGAGAAATTGAAAAATTTGACGTAAAATCTTGAAGTTTTTTTATATTAATAACTGCTCCGGGTCACTGGTCATGACGTCACATAGAAATCTCTTAAACCACTATATGATAGAGTTAACTAATCAAACTACATGAGGATGTAGCATACTACCAAGATGTTATTTGGTGAAAATATCAATGCAATTGAAGCAATTTTGAAAAAGTTATGGTACTTGTCTCACTAATTAATGATACCCCCTCGTAAACACACAGTGCTGTGGTGTTTTTTGTTGATTTCCTCATCATAGTGTTTGGACCCAATTATGGGAACCTGGACACCAATTTTATAAAAGTCGCATTTCCAAGGTCCACTAAAAAAGCTGGGATGAGATGAAAACACTGAGATGTTTTTAGTTTGAAATGTTTAGAGCATTGTGTTGTAGGCTGAGATGTGTGTTCTGTTGTCATTTGAGAATTGAAGAACTCTTTATGTATGCTGAAATATCTACATATTTCTGATAATTTATATTTTCAGCTCAAGCAAAGAGGTTTTTCAAAACCAGGCAAATAGAGCATAGGAGGGTTAAGAATCCTGAAAAGCTGGCTGTGCATAAGAAGCAGATCACAAAAATTAACCGATTGAACAGAATAAGTTATATAATACACCTTAGTTTCACTTATTTTTCTGTTCTGATACTATGTGGTGTCCTTCAGGCTGATCAACCAGAAACAGAAGAAAATCCAAAATGGCTACATTAACATTTACCCAGAATGCCCAAAAAGCAAACCAAAAAAGTGATTTTTCCGAAATTAAAATGGTAGCATCAAAATAGGCAAGCTTTTGAACCTGGACTTACAAGAGGGACGTCTGTATTAAAGAGGAACCAAAACAATTTAGAACAGATACCTTAACCTAATGTTCATTTCTAATTCATGTTTGATCAAATTAAGTATACTATCACACATTGTAATTTTATTTATACATTTATACTTAAAAATAAATAATTTTAGATATGTACAACTAATAAGTAACATATATATGTCCAGGAAATAGCATAAGAAATTCTGTATATGGCTCATATTTTTCAGAAATTTCCTGAATAAGATACGCCGATTATTGGCCCTTTTAGTCAAGGCTGTTTTTAAGAAATTGCTTGATAACATCAGTCAGAAGTCTGAAGGCGAAAAATATGGTATTATCTTAAATTTAGATGAAACTGGATTAAGTATGGTGCCTGCATCATCTTCTACAAGACCATTGATGGAAGTTAACATGTTTGAATATTGGGTTAAGACGACAATTTTTTACAATTACCATGGCCACTACTACCACTATATCAGTTTCTAGCTTTGCCATGTCCCCCGAATAAGCATATCATAGATGCTTTTGATCAGATAGCTGCTAAAGCAACTCCAGCTGTTGAGCCACTTGTGAGATTCATCAGAGCAACACAGAACAACGTAGACCATTCTACGTAGACCATTCTACGTAGACCACTTATTCCCAAAGCATCTTCAACCAACAGGAGAACACTTGAATGATCTCTAAGATCCATGTGTATTTTGATGACATATCATCCGTGTTGTAATCACAGTTAGGTTCATTGGGGCAGAAACCCATAACCTTAAGATCAAGTATTGGTAGGGAGGAAGCAATAGAGGGCTGGTATAGCTAACCTACATTTTTAAAATTACACACTAGGTACTGATGGTTTAAGATATTGTTTGCCAACCTACTAAATGTTTATACAATTTGTTTTTCGGTGTGTAGGCTTAATTAGGCTCATGCAGACTTAAAATTCAATTCCTTGCAGACATAAGAATTATACTTGGTTGGACCTAAATTACACCTGTTTATTCCTAAATTAGGCCTGTGTTAGCATAAATCATGCCAATGAAGAAGTTAATTCTACAGACTTTCAAATAACATACAAAGGTGTAAAGTTGTGGTGTTAAAAGGGCGAATTGCAGGCGTTAAGACGTTATTTAACATATGATGAGTTATCATCAGGCCCATCGAGTTCAATTTTAATGCCTTCAATTATTAACCCATTGATACCTTGCTTACATAATGATACAATGGTAAGACCTATATTACACCTGTCTATTCCTAATTTAGGCCTGTGTTAGCATAAATCATGCCAATGAAGAAGTTAATTCTACAGACTTTCAAACAACATACAAAGGTGTAAAGTTGTGGTGTAAAAAGGGAGAATTGCAGGCTTTAAGACGTTTCAGTTTTACAAAAACAAAAAAGGCATGTTGTGTTGGACAGTGTGAGGAATGGGAGCCAGTGGAGTTGTGGGCACTGTCACTTCAATGAAAACATTTCCAAAAAAGAAGGCATGTCGTGTTGCAAGTGTGAGGAATGGGAACCAGTGGAATTGTGGCACTGTCACCTCAATGTTAACATTTACAAAAGGAAGGCATCCAGTGTGAAGGATGGGACAACTGATTAGCATAAAAATACTATTACCATTATTTTTGTCCAACTGTGTCAGTGATGTTTTTGAGTATTCAATGTTTGAGTTGAAAGGAGATTCATTTGGAGGTTCAATGTCTTTTGATAACAAGAGGATTGGTGTTATCATGGTAGAAGTTCAAGTTAAATGGAGGAGGTCATGTTGGAGAATTTTCAGATGGTTTGTTGTTTCATAATGCTTTTGGTGTTAGGGTTGATATTCCAAATGTTTATCTTGTTGTGAATTTTGTGTTCCTAGGTCATTCCTTGATTATTTGCAGCAGGTAGGTCAGTGTGTGGGAAGTATGGATAGGAAATGTCTAGCATGGTTGTAGGTTTAACAAGTTCAAAGGTTTACGTATGAAGTTCATGAGGCAGTTAAAGTATAATATGAGGTTCTGGTTAGTTGATTGTTCAAGAGTCAATTGTAGGTTCAGGGAATGGATAGAAAGTCTTAGAAGCAGTCAAAATTTTAATGTCAAAAACTTAGAAAGCATTTAGTATGCAATGTCCCCTGCTGTTGCTGTTGTTGCTGTTGTCGTAAATATTGTAAGTGCATATTATAAGCATTCCCAGCCTTGGCTAACGTCAACTTCCAAAGTACGTACAAATATACTGTTTTTTATTTTTACACATAGGTGCTGATATACTTATTATTGGATTTGGACAACATCACCAGACTACAAGCAGAGATGATGCGACATACATGAACATTTGTGCAAGGATTTCTTGGACTGATTCTACCTTGTGTTACCCTTGGGGTGTAATGTATTTAGTACTTTCTTCTGATCAAGTTTCTTGACAATTGGATGATGACACATTTTGTAATTTTTTACTAACTATTGCAAATAAGCTGCAATTTGTGCAGCACTATTTCGTGTAGATATTGTTCTAGCATTATCGTGATTATTTTCTACTGTATAGAGAAACTGTATTGTAATTATTATGTTCGTTGCTCCGATTAATTTTCGGGAATAAAAGAAACAATTTCCTAATTTTGATGATAATTTCTGTTATTTGGGACTCCGACAAAAACATGAGAGAAGTAGATGAGAACATCATTTTTCTTTTGAAAGGTTGTTCTTGCAAGAAAGAGCCATTTTGTTCAAGGAGCTGTGGATGCAAAAACAGACCAGGTGGGTGTGGACCTACTTGCCTCTGCAAGGGTGGTTTCAACTGTAAAAACCCAGTCAATCTAAAGAAAATAAAGGAAGCCAGTGAAAAAATTAATGAATCCCCTCAAAATAATGACGAAAATTCTATAGATCATGAAAATAGTGAACTCAACGATATTCTTTCTATAGATGATTTTGGGTTCAATACAGACGACGATTCATCATCAGATGATGAAAATGATTTTAATGATATCCTTTAATGCACTTTAACAGTTAAATGTCCTTGGATTTTACCAACTAATAGAAAAAGCATGACATTTTGATTTGTATAGAATTGAGAATATAAAGATTATGTATAATTCATTACAATTATCATAATAATTCAGTATATTTCAGCATTTAATTTTTACATATTAACTTATCCACCTCCACTAAGTGCAGGCTGGATATTGATCATATTCATTATTTTAATCCATCTCCTTATAAGTGATTGGATTATGTTTAGTATATGTCTGTTCCTTTCTTGAAAGCCCATGGTGCAACTAATAGGTCTTTCTGGAGTATATTATTAATTCTCCTCAACTCAGCTACTGTTGATTCTCCTCATCTCGGTAAATGTTAATTCCTTAACTCAGCCACTGTTAATTCTCCTCAACTCAGCTACTGTAAAGTCTCCTCATCTCAGTAACTGTTGATTCTCAGCAACTGTTGATTCTCAGCAACTGTTAATTCTCCTTAACTCAGCCACTGTTAGTTCTGCTTAATTCAGCCACTGTTAAGTGTCCTCAACTCAGATTACTTTAAAACTATCAAAAATCAGGGAATTTTCTCTACTTAATGGATTTTAAATATTTTTTTTCAATTCAAAAACTGCACCTGGGTACTGTCTTAACCTTAAATGGAAGAAAATCCAGCTTAATATCTGAAGTTTTGACATTTTTGTACAAGCAGTTAGGCAGTCCTCGGATATAGACCACCTGTAGCTGCTTTTTCCCCTTTTTAGCTTGCACAACTTCCGAGTATAAATAATCCTGAAATCAAAACAGAAAATTCATTCTTGTACATGTTCTTAAATTCCTGGTTCTGGTTCTCCTACTGCTAGTGTCGGATATTTTTAAACTAATTTGTTGTTTGATTTCAGATTCTTGCAACCCGACAATGGGATATTACAGAATCCATAAACATATTTGACCTTAAACAGGTATCATTACAGACTGCCATCTCGATGCCAATTAAAAGAAGATTATCCATTGAGGGGCAAATCGTAAAAGTGAGTAATTCAAAATATACTTAGCCCGGTTAGGCTTTAGAGAATTATACCACTGGCTATATTGGGCAGATTTGCCTACACTGCCGTGATGATCTCTGATACATTCATCCAATCATAGGATGGTGTAATGTATTAGGTATCATTGGAAAGGTTATTTCAGTACTTTAAGCTAACGTGTTACTATATTGCGCCATTATCGATGGAGAAATACATGTATATACATTCCAAATTTATCACCAGCGTATGTTGCCACTACTTAATTTTTTGTTGCTGAAATTCGCCTTCAAAATTTGCATGATTATCACCCTAATTTCATGATTTTGAGAGACTATTTCTTAAGAAACAATCAAAAGTCGGTAAGGGAAATTACAAGGTGGTGTCAAATTACTATAGAAGTTCATTACTTCAAACTCACCAAAAAGACGAGTGGCATTAGGAAATAAGAGACATTAAGAACACGGGGGTTTATCGTTTCAAGTCGAAATTACTGACAATTTGGGTGTTTCAGTAACTTTGATCACCTCTCTTTGGTGCTAGGGGGGGTTAGTCACAATTTTTCGCTAAAGCACGCCTACTTCTATTTTTGAGAAAAAAAACCATAAAATTCGAGTTCAAATGACACACTATGAAAATCGAGAACATACTAAACTCTAATACTTTTATTAACATTTTCTAATGCCAAGATATTTCATACAAAATTATTTTCAGAAAAGGAAAGTATTCGATAATGTAGTAGTAACACTAACCAATGGCACGGATTCTATGGACATAACGATGTACAAAGAAAGTTGTACAAACAGCATACAAGAGAATGCAATGGTGAGGATTTAAGATATAGAAAAAACGGAGAACAAGGACAATATAATTCGAATGCATTCTACTCCTGGAACAAAAGTTGAGGTATGTTAGTGTTATATGCTTTTGTCCATGGGAACTCATTTTAACGTACTATGTTCTTACGTCCATTGTTCAAAATTCACAAATAGCTTGGCAAGATGTGTCCGATTTCTGCCAATCCAAACATAGTATTTCAAATAACTGCATTGCATGAAATAACCAATAAATACATACAAGGTCATTCCTTATGTGTTTGTCATGGTGACAAATTGACTCAACATGATAAAATGGATGCCAATGGGCCTTAAATTTGCCAACTTGCCGTTGCAAAATGCTTCAGTCAAATTATTCTTTTAGAGATTTTTTTATCTTTAACATATTGTATGGCTCTAGACCTATTGCTTGGTCTTCTATACTTTTTAGTACCAGCAAAAAGTTCTAAAAAGCAAGCCCACTGTCCTGTTTAAAAAAAACTAATATTACTTTAAAAAAATGGATTTTTGAAATTCTATCCGACATGAATCTTTTTGATGACACTCAATCAACTTGAGTTCTGAGTACATGGGGACATACACGATTTGCCAATGATTTATCATCAGGATACCATCATATGTCACAATGTAAAGTCAATTGCAGCCTGGCTAAAATCCTCATTTTCTCGGAAGAACTCAACTTTATTGAATCTCAACAAGTAGATTCATGTTGGATAGATAGTATTGCTAGAATCCATTTTCGAAAGTAAGAATATGGGTTCTTAAACAGGACATTAAAGCTTAACTAAGGCCTTTTTGACATTTTTGTTTAGTACTTTTTCAGTGTGGGAAAATTTCAGTGCAGTTGCTATACCTTGTGTACATGCAATGTAAAACATGTTAAACCATGTCCTTGTATTTAAAAATCACCTTGGTTCGATGATGTCCTATCATGGTCAAAGAGGGATTTTAAAAGTTTGCAAGGCAAATTGTATCATAAGAGTTTATGATCAGTATCACATTTTTAATTAAAAATGTCTGAAATAATGTTTAAGCAAAGTTATAGTGCTGCCTCTCCTGCCTCATGCCCAACTCACCTGCTATGCCTAGGTTATTTTCATTTTCACATTACTCATTAATGGTCTTTCAATTTTGCTCAGAGAGAACATATTAAAGGTTCCTGAAAAAGACACTACCAACATCAAACAAGTGTTTGACATGATAATTTACAAAAAATGAGGTCACTTTGGTTTTGTTGTTTAATTCATAATTTATATTTTTTCATCAACAGTAGATTATGTGCAATCCTCGTTTGAATACTGTACTTGATTTTCTTTTGACCATCCCTTTTAATTCATGGTTTTCCTATGCTCACAAGACAAATAAACAAAGTGTACCTTACATCAGATAGCATAATAGAGTATTAAAGATATATTTCAAACAAGCCTACCTTTTCATTTTAAAAATATTTTAGCTCAGGATCTCATCATGTTTTCTGGGTCATGCAAAACTGAGGTATCATGCAACATCTTAAAGAATGCTCACAATGTGAGCATGGCAATCAGACAGGGGACATACACAAAGATGATGGCAATGTTGCATGATATTAAAGTTATCCTGTCAAAAAAAGGAGGACATTTCAAGGAACAATAGAAGAGGTACAAGGTCACTGCTACCACTTGTTTCTTCAATCTACAAGTATCTTCTAAGAACTGCAACAAATGATGACCTCCAAAAACTTGCTTAACATATTCAAATTTTGTCTGACAGGCAGGGAAAATTGGTGATGAATTTAAAGCGCCAAGCTTCAGAGTTAGCCTCATTCATGTCATCAACGGACAAAAGAATTACAAATGCGCTTAGTGCCGTACAATTTAACCACAAGGACAGATGGCATTGACTGTGAAGAGTCATTTAACTAAATTACCACATGCCTCTAATCAGTTAATTGAAAATTTTTTGACTTATATCCAATGCATGTCACAGCCTTTAAGTGTAAGAATTTCGCAAACAAGAAATTCATTGAGACTGCTTTAAATGGAAAATTTCCACAAATCAGGCAAGAGTCCATAATTAATTTGTATTTAGAATAGTTAAAAATCATGGCAAGTGTGTAACATTGGCGTATATTAAGCAACAATCAGAAATACATAGTTCAACTATTTCAGAGAGTCCTGGAAGTCCTAAAATCACGAGGGTGAAGCACTGAGCATTCACTTGGCAAAATGCATGCATTTCCATAATTAATGTTGTTTTGCAGGATGCTTTTGTCTAAGGTTGAGCAGTGTGACGGTACATGCTTCACTAATGAAAATGAATCAAAAATTTAATATTCTACCTGCTCACTTGGTGCTCTACATAGGTGGATCATTTCTGAGAAAAGTTCAACATTTTCAATACATGTGATCGTGATGATGAGAGAGTCATCCTTACCCACATTGCGCCACATGTCGGCATGGGTTGGAGTTCAGCCAAGAAAGGGAGGGTTAAGAGTGTGTTGTTCGAGAAGTTTATGTCCAGTGACAAAAGTGATATAGAAGGTTAAACACATGGAAAGGCAAGGGCAAAGACAGCAAGGAAGCTAACATGGGAGAGCCAGAGAATGCCTCAATATAATAAAAATATAAAAATAAACTGCATATGTAAAAACATTATCAAAGGCAGCAAGAAAGAAAATTTCCATACTATCACGTAATGTTGCAGTTCAATTTACAAGGACTCCCCTAGACAATGCCCCAGAGTGGACAAATTCATTGGATTAATAACAAAAGACAGTGAGTTTCATGAATTCATTGGTTCAACAGGAAGGCTAAAAGCCTCAGCAGAATCCGAGAATGGGTGGAGAATGGAATGGATCAATGACTAGCAGTGAGACATGTATGCTGAAAATGCTGGACCTTCTCGTGAAAGCCCATGATGTTTCAAATATTCACCTAAGCAAAAAAGGTTATTCTTAATATTAATCTCACTTGTGTCATTTTCCCCAACAAATCAGCACCCATAATGTTCATATTACTCTTGCACAAAAATGTCAAATAGTAGTAGCAAAAGTTGAAATTGTACCAAAATAATAATATGTTACATAATTTTAAAATAGAACTTGAAAAAAGAAACATTGTATTGTAATTGTAAAATTTTAAAATGATATGAAAATAAATTTTAAATATAAAAAAAAAAAAAAAAAAAAAAAAATAGTAGATTTTGAAC